TGAGACTGGAGGCCACTGTATCACTCTTTGCCTAGAGGCAAAGTGTCATCTGACCCGCTGCTGACTGCAGCTTGCTGCAGTGGATGCGCCTGTGTTCCCGTTATTAGGGCGTTCAGAGTCCAGCATCCACCATCCACCCAGTTGCACTACGGTGGGACACCAGCCTTTCCTAGAGGGAGCAGGTGGATGAGAGAAATGGTGGCATGTGCTTTGGTTTGCCCGGGTGCTGCAGGGAGTGAGTGCTGAGCTTGGCTGTGTGATCTCTTTTGTCATTTTAATTATGTGTCAGGAGAAGAAAACGAAGTGGAGATGGCTACTTCTGCAGTGTTTTGAACTTTAAGTTGCCAAAACAGCTCACGTCATGTAAGTGCTGATCTAGCTGACTATTATTCTGGCAAACCATATGTGTGGGTTTGAGGGTGTTTTAAGTACAATTCATTAAGAGTATTTTCATGTGTTTCATATTTTAATGGTACTTTGAGCAACCTGGTTTAGTGGGAGGTGTCCCAGCCCATGACAAAGGGGCTGAAACTAGGTGATCTTTAAGGTTCCTTCCAACTCAACCCATTCTATGATTTTCTTTCCTGGGTTTAGATATATTTATTTTAGATCTGCTGCTGCAGAGTTCAGCTTTCCTCCAACTGTGCTTCCCCATCAGGATCTGCCTGTGTACCACCTGTGTTTCCTGATAGTAGAGCTCCGTGGATTTGAAACACATACAGGTGTGGTCCTCTTCAGCCCCGCTGCCTGGGTGATGGGATGGGGAACCAGAGGGATGAGCGAGAAGCTGAATGACCCTCCTGCAGTGTCTGTGTCCCACTCTCATATGGCCTCTGATCTGTCAACTGATGCATTTCCTCAGGAACCTCAACCACTTTTTAAAATTTTAGATGTTGGGAAGAGAAAGTACTCAGGACCTCATGTGCCCTATTACTATTAGAGAATACGTTCCACCCAACAGCAAATTTTCCTGCACCATAGAGGAAAGAGTTTCTCTAGCAATGACTACAGGGTCCTGTTGTCAATGATCTGCTAAGCTGGATGTGCTGTGAATCTGATGCTGCCCTCATCTGTATGTGGCCTAGTTGCTTAGTCTACTGCTTTCTATTGTAATAGCTAAAAGGAAGTCTGTTATTGGCATATGCTTTGGTGCACGTCTCTTGTTTTCTTTAACCTTCTTTTAGTAGAGGAACGCTAAGACTCCAGCACCCAAATCAACTTTTCCTTCAGTAAAGAGGAGTGCTTTCGTCTCTGAGGAGGCTCTATGTGCACTGCTTTGCTAGGTTTGCAGCTTTCCAAACATGTTCCTGTTCAACCTAAAACCTACAGATGGGGTGTGTGTGTCAGACAGAAACAAGTAAATTGGGAGAACTCTGTGAGTGCTCTAGGAAAGCCCTCAAGTCAGAAATTGAGTGAGTTGTGGGTGCTTTGCTGTTGGCGGAAGGCTAGCCAAGGAGCTTGAGGTCTAGGGATTAGAGAAGAAAAGGAAGAAAAGGCTGTAGATCCCAGACCTCATATGAGGAGTCCTGGCACAAGGCACCTTCCGGACTTTGTTTTATTCTTAGAGGAGGAGCTCAGTGCTTGAGGCCAGTGCAACAGGGCTCAGGGCCAAGTGGTGAGTCAGCTGTGTGTCGGTCACCATCTTGCACCATGGCTCATGTGTCGGAGCAGAGCACAAGACTGGTGCTGTGCCTTCTGGGGAAGGAATTTCGTTCCCCAGTTGGTTCTGTAGTGCCGTGATCGCCTTTCAGTTTCACCTCCCCACACATCTAGTTAAGCTGATTGTCAGAGATGAGATGCAGTGGTTAGCCACGTCTGGCATGAAGCACCCCAAGCATGTCCAAGATGCTGCATCTTGTGCTAGTAAGGTCAGCCTCAAACCTGTTTTCGTAGTCCTTGCATTTTGTCATTGACTATGTGTTCAACACTGAGTCTGTATATTAAATCAGTTTGACCTGTGAAGGACAGGAACAAGGAGCAGATGTCACTTATTTGGCTCTCATTAAAAAAACCCCGAAACTATGGCCAAAGTACAGGATACAACTTTATACTTCATTTCACAATTGTCTCTTAACATACCCTCTCCTCAGATCTCTTTTTCCCGGAAATTTTGTGCTTCTGTTGTGGGTTTGAAGCAGTGCCAGGGAGAGAGCTCTCTACAGGACTCTACCACTGCATGCTCATTCCTTAAATAGTTGAGTGTAACTCAACGTGGTGGTAAGAAAATGAGCAGTTGATGTTGTTCAAGTGTTAATTGTGCCAGAAATTGAGAACGTATTTTCAGAGCCTCAACCCAGCAGCACTAAGAGCATTTAATTAATTTGTTTGTGCAATTTCTCTGAATGGGTGGCAGGAATCTGCCTGATCGCTCTGCTCCAGGCACAGCGGGGCCAAGTTGTAGAGGCCAATGATCGCTCATCGGCCTCGGTTTTCCTTCCATCCAAAGAAATGAGAGGAATTCAGGGTATGTGGAAAGTCTTGCTTGTAACTTTCCTCAGACCTAGCAAGTGGTTCTTGATTTCTTTAAGGCCTCTGACACTGTTGAGACCAATGGTAGTGGCCTGCAGTTGGCTTAGGAAATTGAGGTGAAGTAGCCTTGTACTGGTCCAGTGCAGCAATAGCAGGAGTGGAAGATCTCACTGTAAGAGAGATAACTGTGTATGCCTGCTTTTTCTATAGATCCCTGTAGGAAGGTGAGTGCCTCCTGTGCTGTAGACTGGAACAGGCATTGCATAGATCTGTCTGTAATTGGGCAAAATTGTAAAAATTCTTCCCATAGGGTATGAAAACAATTTTGCAGTAATATGTCGCATAATTGAAGGGACAATCGGACCCTAACTAGGCCCTTCCTTTTAATATTTCTCGATGAACTAAATCCTCTAAGCTTCCCATGCAACCTGTTTGAATAAGATGATGTCCCAATATAAGCTGAGTGATTACTGAAATTCAGAAGCATTAAGTCTTAAATCAGCAGGAGGAAAATATGTATTTGAGATATATACAATGGGAAGCACTATGCAGGAGGTCACCAAAACATGTACCGTGTCTGCGATTCTAAAAGAGCTGGGTATGGCACAGACCACTAATAACACATACGAGCTATGCAGGATAAGGGTAATCAATGCTTCAGGTCACTCAGCTCAGTTGGTTGTGAATATATTATCTCCTGCAGAAGCTTCTCTCTTCCTGCTTTACAATATCACACTGTTGCTCGAGTACATTACAAAAGCTTTTGCTTGTTTGGAAATGTAAATTACTCCCTTCTCTGCTGCCAAAGGTACACTATACCGTCAGCCAGAAGAATCAGTGTGAAGCCATACATTTGGGGATCTGTCATGTTATTTTCTTGCTTTTGCCAGGGACATTTAATGTTTTTTCTGAATACCTTTCTTAACCGTGCCAGCCACAGCCTGGGATGGCGACTGCTCTGCAGGTTTCTCCAGTTTGCTGGGTCTGATGCCTGATCTCGCTGGCTCTTAAAAACAGGCGCTTGTGCTGAAACGTGTCACCTTTGCTCCCTAGAGCCCTGACAGCCACATGGTGAAAACATTTGCCTTTAACCTTAGCTTGCTATGAGGCAGAAAGAAGCCTGACTCAAAGCCCAGGTAAAAGAGGCTGTTTAAGTTTGGAAATGTTCATTTTGGGAGCTGCAGTTGGCTCCAGGTGTACGCCTCCCCACACAGCAAAGCGCAGATCCACATGTCTAGCCAATGCATTTGCAGTCTTACCCTGAAATCGTTCTTCCACTGAGCCTGCAGTTTCCCATCCAAATGAATGAGACTTTTGAATGCAAAGGGGTTTGCAGTCCCAGCACCGGAGGACAGTCATTTGGCAAGTGTCTCGGTCTGGAAGAGGCCAGAATGAACTCTGGGCAAGCAAAAACAAAGCATGTGTGCATACCTTTGCATTCCTGTCTCGCTTCTCTGACCAGAGATCTCTCAGCTGTCAAAACCATACTGTTTTGCTGGCAAGTTCTCCCTTCTCCCTCAGTGGTACTTTATGGGGCCTGTCTTCTACACCTTCAGGGAAGAGGCCCTGCAGAACCAGCAAACACCGGGGCTGGGGGTGCAGAAGATGTTTGGAGCCCCACCATGCTGGAAGAAGAAGGGGTCTGTACCACAACTGCAGGTGGCTTTTGGATGAGGGCCCCCAAAGCCTCTTGCACGAGGTTGTTAACTAAAGAAACTGTTACTGAGTGATTAGCAATTAGTAAGTGCACTGCATTTATTTGTTCTGACCGTCCGAAGGGACTGAGCCTCTTCAGCAGCATTATTATGCGTGGTGAATAATTCACATAAAAATGTGTAGCAAGCTCTGGGGCTGGGCTATTTAAATAGTGCTTACATATTTTTAACTCGTTAACACTGTAAGCCTTTAGGATCTTATAAGTATTACAATCTTTTAAATGCTTTTCTTCTGAGTCCTACTAAAGCTTGTTTCTCTGAGACATAGGACAAGATTCTGCGAACATCCACTGATGTGCTTCATTTGACTTTCCTCAGCTTATTTGTGTCATAAGGGAATGTTCTCCTGCTTAAAATGGGGATCTCTGTTTTACAGGATTTTGGCGAAATACATGAAGATGTATATTCTATAAAGCTTCTCCCTGGAGTTTTTATTCTATACATAAATCTATATCAGTCGTTTTTCAGTGTATGGGTATATCGTTTTGCTCTGTGAAACTAGTCCAAGGCTGCTGCTGACAAGGTATCTCAAATAGTTCATGGGACTTGGTATGTCCCAAATGTTGTGGGTTTTTTTTCCTTCTTAAAGGTTTTTGTAAAGTTAGAATTTACCTGTATTTTGTTCAGCTTGCCTGCATATTTTCCAGTGTATGTCAGAGGAAAGGCTTTATAAAAATATGAAATGTTCACATACTAAGGTAAATTAATAAAGCTTCCTTTTCATATGAAAGAGGTAAAGAAAAGTACCTGGCCAATACAGTACCATTAATCTATTCTCTTTTCTCCTTTCTCTCTTTACCTCTCTCTCTACAATAGAAGTGGAACAAAAAGGTAATTAAATACCTTTCAAATTATATATATATATTACTTATGTATAGGCTAAGTTATTTAACAGTTTAACGTTTTAGTTGAAATACTTTGTCATTAATTCTCACTACTTTTTTGTTAAAGTTTATTTAGTATCTCTGCTGCTCAACTTCACCAGATAACTGATTTTTTTGCTGAAAAGTTTTTATCAGTGCCACTTTTTTCCATTAAATTTCTGTTCAAAGGTTTAGATAACTTGCTCTTCTGTCCCAAAGAATTCGGAAAGCGTGCATACATACGTATGTGCGTAAGTATATCTAATTATGCCATAAAAGCCTCTTGGAAATGGCACCCCTTTATCAGCAACTCTGGGTGGTTACTTAGACTCCAGTAGAGCAATGTACTTTTACGCCAGCTACTAAATCTGATTTTCCTCCTGTCTCGCTCTCCAGAGGATATTACCAATCTCTGCATTTCAAAACATAATTGGTTGCTCTCCAAGCAGGGAGTGCGAGTACGGGATCCCATCAGAAGCGTGAGGTGGGATACCTCTTCACGCCTCCCTGCTGCCCATCCCAGCGTCACGGTTATCATACTACTCATCCTCATGGAGATCAGCATTCCAAAGAACCAGCAAATATTCTCCCCACCCCCCGAAGCGTGTGTGGTGCATCCGGGTCAGGAGGGTGCTACCAGGGTTGACGAGGGCCGAGCGAGTCAGTTTTGCTCCGCGCCGCCCCTGCTTTTGTCTCCCCGTCTGACCTCTTGGCATCGGCGTTCCTGTGTGGCCCAGGTTGGCCAGGCACCGGCCGAGCCCCTTCCCAGGTGCTGGGCAGGCCCTGGCCCCTCTCAGCCCCCCCCCCGAAGTCTGAGCAGCAAAGCACCCCGGTTAGTCAAACCGCTCCTCTGTGCTCCTCTCATGTAACAATAGAAGGTATATGTTTTTAAGTTTGAATTACTACTGTATTTAACAGGACATTTTTTTAACTGATTAAAATCTAGACCCTGGGTTCCTCTCCAGTGAACTTTATTCTTTTCCTTCCTTCTTTCCTTTCTTCCTTCCTTCCTTCCTTGTCGTTTCCTTTCAGCATCCATACGTCATTCGTTTTTAATTGTGTGGACTGCATGTTTCGTGTGTCCTGTAGCAGCTTTGAAAGGCTCATTTCTAGTTATACTCCAGATCTGTAGACGGGTGTTCCCCTCACTCCCTTTGCTTTAGACGCTCTAAAAAAGGGATTCGCCTCTGCTTTGCTGTTGGTACCCTTTACATATTTAATGTCGCTTGGGCTGTAAGGATGGGAATTTCTTTCTCTTATTTCCGTTTCTAGGCCACTCTTCTGTGGGCTGTTCAAATAAATATGTGGATCAATTCCCTGAGAGTTTACCCCTTCACCTAGTAGGTACAAATTCACTGCAGACTATAATCTGGAAATACAAACCCAGAAATCCTTTGGGGACACATATTCATTTCAGAGTTTACAAAGGCGAGTGGTCCAAGTAAGTACACCTGTAAAAATAAATTTGAAAAGCAATAAGAAAATGAGCCACAGTTGATAGAAAAAACAGTAGGGGGAAAGAAAATTCTGTTTGGTGGAGCCAATCTTGTTCTAGAGACATGGCCGGCAGGAAGGCTAGTCTCCAGCTCTAAGGCATTGCTCTTGGGTTTCCTCTGATCTCAAGTGTCCACTTCTGCAGAACTAGAAGCTGTTGAGGTGTTTGGGCCAACCACCACCAGACTGTCATTAACTTTGGTGTTGTTTTTTTCTGTCTTAAACTTTTTTCCCCTCCGACAGTTTTTCTTTGCCCTGGACTGCTGAAAGGAGTATACCAGAGCGAACACTTATTCGAATCCGACCATCAGTCTGGTGCCTGGTGCAAGGACCCTCTGCAGGCGTCTGACAAGATCTACTACATGCCCTGGACTCCGTACCGGACCGACACGCTGACGGAGTACTCCTCCAAGGACGACTTCATTGCCGGGAGGCCAACCACGACCTACAAGCTCCCACACCGGGTAGATGGCACAGGGTTCGTGGTGTACGACGGGGCTTTGTTCTTCAACAAGGAGCGAACCAGGAACATAGTCAAGTTTGACTTGCGGACAAGGATAAAAAGTGGGGAGGCTATCATAGCTAATGCAAATTACCATGACACCTCTCCCTACCGCTGGGGAGGCAAATCTGACATAGACCTGGCTGTGGATGAGAACGGGCTGTGGGTAATCTATGCAACAGAACAAAATAATGGCAAAATAGTCATTAGCCAGTTAAACCCTTACACATTAAGGATTGAAGGGACGTGGGATACGGCCTATGACAAGAGGTCAGCGTCTAACGCCTTCATGATCTGTGGGATTTTATACGTGGTGAAGTCTGTGTACGAAGATGACGACAATGAAGCCACAGGAAATAAAATAGACTACATATATAACACTGACCAAAGCAAGGATAGCATGGTGGATGTGCCCTTTCCAAACTCCTACCAGTACATTGCTGCTGTGGATTATAATCCCCGGGACAACCTCCTTTACGTGTGGAACAACTATCACGTCGTGAAATATTCCTTGGATTTTGGCCCGCTGGACAGCAGAGCAGGTAAAGGTTTTAATTTTCTTGCAAATAGAGTCTAAAATTGAAGTCTTACTGATCTGCCTGTGTTTCTGTGAATGAAGCCCCACCACAAGACCTATGATAGATATTAAGACATTAATAGGTGCAGGATATCTTTTTATTAATCTTAGTTTGAAATGAAATGGAGAAAGGAGTGTGCTACCCGTAACTAAACTGAAACAGTCTCCAAACGTCCAGTCCTGTTCACATCACAGGGGTGGCGCTCTTTTCTCCTTAATTGAATTTTCCTCCGTGTATCAGATCATCCTCCCTTCTGCAGGAATTTTGGCAAAACAAACCGTGAAAAATACCGTCGCTGCAAACAGCCGGGGGAAAACAGCCAGGCAGTTTAAATGACTTTGTTCAATAAATCTGGGGGAGTTTGGGCTGTTCAGGGAAGGTGCCTCTAATTACATGCAAGAGCCTGCACCCACAAGTGTGTATCTAGAGTCAGGAGGGAAATCGACAACAAAATCCTACAAATTGTTGGTTTGTTTTCTTTAAAGTTCTCTCATTTTTTAATTTTTATTTTTAAGAATCATTTCATGTCTTAAGTATGGCTTAGTATGTCTAAGAGAAGAACATCTGGCCTTCAGAAAATTCATGGCTTTTCCATCTTTTTTTCCTGATAGAAATTATGCCAGTAATTACTTAATTACTAATTATTTCAGTTAAATTTTCTTAACTTTACCAACTTCTTCATCGTTTTGCAAATATTACGTTCACCTTTGACACTTAATTAGTGACATAACTTAGCTGAGATTGTGGTCCAACTCATACGATGGTGCAAGAATTTCAAAGCAGTGTCTGTGTAATTGTTTTCAAACGGTTACTGCTGTATACGATGTAGTCATATTTATCATCCTGTCATGGACTGTGTACTTCAGAAAGGCTGAAAAAGTAAGAAGAAAGGCAGAATTAATGCAATTTGGACAGTAAACTATTTGATTCGTAACATGGCTATTCCAAAACCATTCTTTTCTGTTAATAAGAAACTCAGAAGTGAATGAGTGGGTTCAGGCTTTAGACTGCAAAAGAGATGATGCTGAAAGACATGGTGGATATGAAAATCTGGGGAGGGGTGGAATAAAAGTAGTAAAATGGTGGCGAGATTATAATTTTTGTGCAAAAATGTAAGGAAGAGAAGGAAAGCTTGAAGAGGCAGGTGAACAAAAAAGAAAAAGAGAGGAGCAGAGATGCTTTCAGTGATGTTGACCTCTGCAAGATCTCAGATGAGCTAAAAATGAAGTAATATTTTTCATTCTCCCAACTTAATGATGAGCATGTACACTCCAAGTAGTGGAGTGAAGCAGAGCAATTCATGAGCTATTGGTTATCCCTGAAGAGTGAAAATCAATTGCATCCCTTCTATTTCACAGAGTTTCTCTCCTCTTCGGTGAATTATTTCCAGGTATTGCAGTGGACTCTCAGCTGCAGCTTTTTCGTGTGGTGACCATTGTCAGTAATAGCATCATTAATAACATAATTAATGAAAAAAACCCAAATTTTGTATTTTCTTTAAAAAATGAAGTAGTTCTCCCTTTTTTCTCAGTCTAAGCTGCTGAGATGGGAGAGCAGATAGAAACGCTGCAAGGGACTGAAAGTCTGTTAGGTACAAGGATTTGGTTTGTCCTTTTGTCTCTCTGGTTTGAAACACCTTTAATTTCACTTTGGGGTGAGAATTTAAAATCCCCCAGTGCCTCACATGGAAAGCTGAAGCAGTTTTTGGCTTTGGGTCGTGGTCGCGAGAGGGTTGCTCTGGTGTCAGGGACTGTGGTGAGCCTTCGCTGACGTTCCTTTTGTGCAATTTTTTATAGCTTTGTAGTAGTGTGGGCACAAAGCTGCATTTTACATGCATTCCACTTCTCACAAAATTGCCAGGATTTCCTTTTTGGCAGAAAGGCATAAGGATCCCATTACTTCACTATTTTATGGATTTGGAGGACTTTTGGGAGGGTTACTCTGACAGAGAGTGAAATCTTCGATGAGACAGATCGAATGGGCCAAGGCATTTCAAAGCGAAGAAAAATACCTTTGGAAAGGGAGTTTACTGCTTCATTACCTGCACAGCCTGATTAGTGGGAATGTTATTTTACGAGTCAGTCAAACAGAAGCACTGATTTTGAATTGAATAGGTGAGCAAGCACACGCTTGACATCAGGCTTTTTCTTCCCAGAGAGGAGCCAGGAGACCAGGTCTGTGTGACTCTTTCTCTTCCAGGTTCACTGCAACACATTTTCTGGTTAGCACAACATTTCATGCTGCATTGCTTTATATATAATACTAAATATATGGCCAACTTAAACTCAGCTCCTCCACCAAAGAGCAGAATGGGAGCCGATGAAATGTTCAATAGAGCCATTTTCCATAGGGTTACAGTCTGAGTAGCAAAATATGTAAACAATATCTGCCTAATTAAAAAATAAAAGTATGATTATAAAATTGATGGGTCAAGCAAATTGGTTGTTAAAAAACAATTAAGAGTGAAGATTTAGGAGAAGAGCTCTTAAAACCGAAACTTGATCATAATAAGAAAAGTGATATATTTAGCTACATAAATATCCAGTAACGTGTTTGAAACATACTTAAAATCTCTCTTATAATACATTTCAGGGATATCTAAAATAAAAAAAACAGGTGCTAGAGGCTCCAGCTCACTTAGAATCAAACATTTTCAGTCTTCTCCCAAACTAACCAGGGGAAATGGTGGGAGGCAGGAGTCACTTAACTTACAGGAAAGGCAGAGATCCACATCCTCTCGCCCTTCACAGTGATTAAACAGTTTCTGTGAGTTTTAATTAAGGGTCTTTTGTGCGTATAGATTTAACACATATTTGAGATCTTCACTGTCTCTCACCTGCTGTATAAAAAAAATGGGTTTTTACTCCTCAGAGTAAAGGAGCATCAAAACCTGGAGTTTCTGTGCTCAGCTTCTGTGGCACCTGAAGGTACAAGGAAGACAAAATATTCTGACGTCTTAAAAGTGAGGCACAAAGCTGGATTCAATTGATCTAGAAGCAATTCAAGGCTCTTGATTGAATTAAAACCAGTGGTTCATTTTTCCCAGAAATAGGAAAAGCTGGATTTTAAGGATTTGCCTTGCTTAATTTTGGTGGGTTTTTGTTTTTTCCTTTTGTCTGAGACTGTTTTCATTTATCCCTAAAGCAGTTTTGAAAGCAAACAGTCCTCAGTGCCTGCAACTCCCAGGAAACCTGTCGTTAATGTCTACCTTCAAGAAGTGAACTTGAAGATACAAAAAGCCTTTGAAGCATATTTTTCTTTCAGCTGTTTAGCCTTAAAATTAGGGGTTTTGAGAATGCTTCTTTCATAAATGCTCCTGAGCTTTAGAATTATTTCTTTATATCTGCTTTTGAGTTTGCAAATTTGAAGGCGTAGTGAGAATAGCTCTACAATTCTAGCAGTGTTTTCCGTTGCATTCTTCAAGAAGTCAAACCTAGAATAATGTTCAGGTAATATTTTATGTGCTCTGCTAGACACGTGCAGGAAGGGAAATGAAAGGCTTTATCAACAGAATGAAAAATTTTTCGCAACCTAATCAGCCTTGATATTCACCAGAGTTACCTGTTTTAATCATCACCCACTTGTGATACAGTCTACGTAAACAAATTCAAGAAAATATCAACACATCCTCCTCTCCAAAAAGGTAAAGTGCTCCTAACCCGATTCCCAGCACCGTGCTGCATCCAAACATGTCTCCAGGCTTTGCACCTCCATGGCTGGTCCTGGCTCCTGGCTGGGCACCACACAGGGGTTCTCGGGCAGCAGGGACACCAGAAGGAGAAAGTTTCGTCTTTTTTAAATGCCCAAAGTGCCCCACGCCAGTGCAGGCAGCTCTCGCGCAAGGGTTCAGGAGGTGCTGGTTGAGTGTTTTAGACCAGGGGTAGGGACTGAAGCCTGTCCCATCGCTCTGCAGTGAAGATGTCCAGGGAAGGACTTGAACCAGGATAAGGATCCCTCTGAGCATGTCTGGGACTTGGATGTCCTGACAGCTCTTCCCAGTGACATGGGAAATACAGACCTCCTATTTTTGAGGAGATGTTTTAAATTATGTCCGAGAGACCCAAGCATTACAGTATGGGGTGTTTAATAGATGTGTTAAGGTAATAAATAAATATGACCAATACATAAGGAAGACAGTGATACGATACAGGACTTCTAATACGGCTTCATTATGCTTGAGTCGCTTCTATAGACTGCATATTAACACTGTGGACTGCCAGTCCAGTAATCAAATGTGCTATGAAGCTTCCACCCATATCTAGGATATTTTAAAAGCCTCAGAGGGTGGATATCAAACTTCTATCCTCCACATTCTGTTAAACGTTGTGGGATGCTCTCTTGACATGTGATTGCGACCGTTTTATTCAGTAAAGGTGGCTGGGTTTGGGTTTTGTTGTGTTTTTTTTTCTTTTTCCAAAGGCAGTTTTACAATGCAGATAAGGTGAACCCTCTGTCCTTATAATATGCTAATTAAGTGCATTTGTGTCTTGGGTAAAAGCTGTGGCAGTACGGTGATGAATAAGAACTTTAAACACATATGACACCTCGTTAAAATGTAATTTTCACATCATAAATCTGAAGCCTTGCCTTTGACAGCTGAGTAATGTGGATAGTGGGCAGAGGATCTTGAAAGCTTCAAAGCTGTCACGTGCTAATAGGTAGCTGGAAGTGGCTTCCTGTGCTGCTCGCCTTAGCGCCCTGCATCCTTGCCTGGGAAATCCGTCGAAAGGGCTGCCGGATCTTCAGTCCCACTTGTGCACAGGATATGAGTCGCCATCACTTCAAGATCCCGTTGTGATAAGTCACGCTTAGTATGTCTGAAGTTGTGTTCGGGCTGCATTTTAAAAGGCCAGCTGAGCCTTTTTGATGAGCAGCTTCTCCTGGACGACAAGGGCCATTTTTAGGGAGCTGCTGAGTGTTTAATTGCGCTTCTCCTGTGTTTTTATTTTCCAATTGCTTTCCTC